TGAGGGACTCAAACACAACTATTAAAAAAGGTTCAAACATTCACTGATGCTCCAGAAGATAAAACCATGCATTATGAACAAGCGACTCATGAACAACTATCACTAAACACAACAAAAACACACACAGCTGTGGATCATTCAGGTAACCACACAGTATTAAGAATCAAGCGTATGTAAACTTTTGAACGGGGTCATTTTTATAAATTCAACTATTATTTTCTCTTGTGGACTGTGTGTAAACGTCTCTCGTGTGAAATATCTTATTCAGGCCAGTGCTAAATAAAAAATAACATGCATTTTGTGTGATCCTCTTATTTGGGTAAAATAATCAACATGTTGCAGATTCTGCAAGGTGCATGCAAACCTTTGACCACAACTGTAAACATGTTTTTATTTTTTTTAAGTGGAATTTTCACCAACAGTCTCATCGTTTAATTTTGACCTTGCACATGGTCTCGCCATTTTAATAAAACACTGATAAATTAGTAAATTGACATGGAACATATTGCACTATGGTTCATAGTTTCCTTTGCTTCAGGCCTGTGCTTGTATCTGTATCTGCAACGAGGCTGATGGAGGACGGAATCATTGAGAATCAATTTGAATTTACAACATTAATCATAAAACACGTTCACAGGCACATGTTTGCCCTCGCCGTCCATGCCACTGTTTAACAACGTGATGCCATAAACAAAACTAACACACACACAAAAAACCATGAAGCCTGCTGAAATAAAAACTTAGTAAGATTTAGAAGAACAGCTGAATATACTTCTGAGTGTTCAGCGCTTTACAGAGCACAGAATAATACTGTGAAAGCAGTGTTTCACTGTATTTTTGTTATTTGGTTGATTTCTATAATACTTTATTATACTGTATTCTACTAAATTGATATATTATCATTCCTAATTATAATACTATTATTTATGATTATATAATATATAGTTAATACAGTATATACTGTAAATCTCTAGTTAGGGTTAGTAATAATGCACTACAGCTATACTTCAGAATAACATTACAAAAAACAATGTTTATCGTGTATTCTGTATAGAAACAATCAATGATCAGTTATGTAACACTGCTCAGACACCCAGCCAGTCAATGTCAAACTGCAATGAAATGTAACCTTCAGAAAGAGAACAGATGAGCGCTGAATGAAAAGCCAGGCAAGGACGATCGTTTCCCATCAGCCTCCTCTCATTATACAACAGCAGAACTCACTGCCAGCCTCTAAATGATCAAATCTTTGCTGAAAAACCTGTTGTGCGCAATCTACTGCACGCCTTCTGTCATCTGATTTACAGTTTATATTCATTCAGAAAGTAAAAGGATTTGGTATAATTATAAAACTGCAATTATTTATAATTATAAAAGGTTCACGTGTCGGTTTGCTGTGAAATCTTTACTGATTTCTATTAAGCAGATGTAAAAATAACTATGCAATTGCATATTCATGTACATCTATTACTGATAAATAAAAAACACACATGCAATTATTTTCTTTTGCTTTGCATCTGGTCTAGTCTCAAAAAACTCTTTATATATATGACCCTGGAGCACAAAACCAGTCATAGTCACAAATTATTTTTTACAATTACTTCATGTGTCAGGCTTTACAGGGTTAATTTACATTCTGGAAAACATTAAACAGGAAATTAGGAAGCACTTCAATTTAATGAAAACAAAACAAAAAAACTTCACAAAATAGTTTCCTTCTCATTACACAACAAAGGACAAGACAAAGTAGACAATGTTAAATAAGGCTAAATGTATAAAAAAAAAGAATGTCAGCAAAGCTTGGTTTAACTGCTTCATGTCTACAGATCTTATTTTGACAACAGAATGCACACTTTCAGCTTCGACAGGCTACTACTCCTCTAAACCGCTATTTATTCAAACATTAGGCCTCTACGGTTGTGTAGTAAACAAAAAACATCTACCATGAGATTTGGACTAAATGATTTGAACCAAACACGGAAAAAAAAAACAAAAAAAACAAAACAAAGACCAACAGGTTTTTTCATCAGTGAAATCTCTGAATGTCATTCAAAGATTTATTGATGATTGTAGCATTGTGGAAATCAAATTATATCAGAGCAACAAAACTCTTACAACAAGCTTTCAGTGAAGTAAGATTTAGCAAGCAGAAATCAACAGAGGGCAGTAAACGTGATGGATAATAATGAAGCGGTAAGCTGAGAAGTATGACGTGTCCTGAAAATGTCCCGAGCGTGTGGCTCTTTATTCAACAAACAGGTCAAAACTTTCCGCTTCCTCAAACTCTGCATTCATCTCCGCGGCAAGAGCGTCCAGCTCCGACATCTGAAAGAGCCGGAACAAATCACAACTGATCAGAATCAATAAACAAGCGCTTATAAAGGGAGCCCTGTTTCAAACTCATTTCTGCAATTCTATTGGGTGAAGTAGAAGTGACAGATTCTGTACTGGCATCTGTGGCTAACATCACGAAAACTTTCCACGGCACTAAAGGCTCTTTAGATGATTCAGATGTTCTTCACACGAACAAACAGAACTGTTGACTGAAAGGTTCTTTGAGGAAGCAAAAATGGTTCTTTATGGCATCACTGCGACAAGAGTCCCTGTTTTGGAAACGTTAATTTTAAAATACCTTTAAAAAAATCAGCAATTTAAAAATTTTAATTTGCTGAGCATTTTTTCACCTTCAGTCCATCCGAGATGAGTTTGTTTCTTCATCAGATTTGGAGAAATGTAGCATTGCATCAGTGTCTCACTGCAAGTGAATGGGTGCCGTCAGAATGAGAGTCCAAACAGCTGATAAAAACATCACAATAATCCACAAGTAATCCACAGCACTCCAGTCCATCAGTGAACATCTGGAGAAGACAAAAGCTGAAACAAATCCAGCATTAAGACGTTTTTAACTCAAATAC